GATCGACTGCCACGCCAAGGAATCTAGGCCATGTTCTCGCGTTACTAATTGGTGCTCAGACGGTTGTGCATTGGTATGAGTAGATAGGCTTTGTGCTGGAAACTCAGTCACACGAATCAGCACGTTGGTCATGCTTTGAGTGAATTTTACTGTCGTATTTGTTGTCGTTTTTTGTTTCTTGGGCATTATTGGGTAATGCTAGCTGCTCAACAATTCACATCGCTGCCTTATCAGTGCATTTTGTTTATATTTTATCGCAACTACTTCATCAGTTATTCCAAACAAATAAAACCTTTAGGAACTCAATCCTTAGGTGAATGAGGTCTGAAAGAGTCCCGATTCTGCGGCCACTGTGAAAGCTAGTTGACTGAATTAAGCATTCAGTGCGTACCTACATACCAATCCAATTTCAAAAATCATCACAGTACTAATAGGGACATTTAAAGACGCCAGTTATCTAAACTGCGTCGAAAATGATCTAATTTACCATCATTGTACAGTTGTACAAAAAGCGTCTAGTTTTTAATGTTATGGTACATGAAATTGCGTCGCACATGATGAATTTATGGGTCGGGTGAAACCTTGATGGATTATTTTGCTGTAGAAAAAAAGCCGAGTCGCGTCAGAATGGTGCTTGTGCTAATAAACCAGAATCATGTACTTTTGGCTGTGAGCAAAAGGCCTCTGACTCAAGTTGGCCTGTAAGTTGATTTTATGACGTCTGAAGCGTAGAATTTCACTAGAAATGAGTCAGTGTTGCATTCTTGGCCGATTATTACACTGAGTGCGTGTGAGAGGCCTCTTGCTAGCAACCAAAAGTATGTACCTCCAGGTTATTAGCATGAGCGGCATTCTGAAGCTAGTCGCCTTCCTTTTCCGCAGCAAAACAATTCACTAAAGTCCTCGCCATACTGGCATTCCCTCGTGGGAAACAATTACGTGTTTCAGGGTACTCTTTTTAAGCTCTGCAGCAGGGCACAACTATTCTACCAAACTAGTCGATAAATCTTTAAATTAACTAACAAGATCAGTGATCAAGATCAGTGCTCTGGTTCATAAAAAGGAGAGGAATCGGCATTTGATAATCAAAATGTTGATTATTTTACTTAATTATGATTTTGTATTTATACTGACAACGAGGTTATGTTTAGGGATATCAGACCAAACCTTCGCCAGAATTTCATTTCACTGAGAAACCTCCTTAAAAGATCGCCAAACAGGTCACTGCGTCGAAGCATGTTAAGAATTATAGATTAGATAACCACTTCGTGTGGTAAGCCAAGTCTTATTAGTTTATGACGAACACAAGCATTTGTTCATCACCTGGGTTGTGTCGCGTCTCGCTACATAAGAGTGCGTTTTTGAACACATCTGAGCCGTGGGCGTAAACCATGGGAGTGCAGTGCCAGCTGTACGTGCTCACAGTGGGATTCGGTGGGAAATACTAATGACTGTGTGTCATTAATTGGGTAATCCAATTTGTTGCCTCGCCAGAGTAATTCGTGTAAGGGTGAACTCACTACCTCTACAGCAGCAGTCTTGGCAGTCCAGCGAATGTAGAGCTTATAAAAGCACACCACTAAACGCCAAAAATGGGTCACATTCTCTGAGTGTCAGCGTTCTCCACGACAGCACGCCTTAACAATAAAAGATCTAGCACCAGATGCTGATAACAACGAAAACGGGGCCTTCAAGAAGTGATTTGTTTTTTTAAATTTCTAGATGCAACCCCAAACCATGCGTGATTTAAGGTATTTCAGGATTTGGTTATCTTGAGCTGCAAAATAGACATTTTAATTCGCTTAGTGCAATTGGTGGGCTCAATTAAATTTTCTTCTGTTCATATATGCCTAAAATATTTTAGGGAATCTTATGTAATGAATTTCAAGATGGTCGCGGAAGGATATTAGAAGGTGTGTTGACCCAAATAATGGGTAATACTAATTCTTACGGCTCTTACATTTTGTTCGATACAAACATTTTATTTCCTACTGTTATGCATAATGCACCCGAAACACAAAGGTTACGCTCCGGTTGCTTAACTTCTGGGTTGAAATTTAGTTCCTAGATTCGTTCATTAGTTTTACTTCATTCTAGAACAATTTTTGACCGACGCCGCCCCATTGGTGAAATGAAGCAGCACATAGTGAACTCATAGTGCAACATTTATTCGTCAGCAAAATAAGTAACTTTCACTGGGCCCTTGTATGAGGGATTTAGAAAGATGTTTATGTGCATCGTGGTCTAGGAAGCCACCACAGCACTTACGTTATACACTATGTTGGGCCCTCGGTTTAGTGGAATACTTACACAAAGGCATCGAATTTTTGTATTCCCATAACAGGACGGTTGGTATTTAGTAGTAGCTGTCTGTCACCATTGCCATGCGCAGTGCTGGCGGTACCAGTTTCCACGCTTGCAATAGTTCTCACGACGTCATAATCCAGAAGGCCTTTTCTACATGCCATTCCAATTAACGAACCGTCTTACCTTACTGTAGTACCAAACTGTTCCTCGGTAGACTGCAGTGAAATTGTTACCTTTTGTTTATGAACAGAAATATACCTGTGAAAACTACAAACAAGCGCAAATCTGCAGTGGTAAGGAGCTAATTTTTAGTTAATCGGGCAGCAGATAAAGGTAAGCACCGGTTGTATTTTCAAATACCGGCGTACACTTCAAAAAGTGACTTTAGACCTGAAGCACACAGACTGTGCTGACACAAATAGACTGAACTTTGACCCCATATCATGGACTGATGATCAACAGTAAAGGATTACGTTTGTATTATAAACCTGAAGGCCAATTCATTTTGCAAGGCAGCAGCACAACTTTGAACATGACTTCAGATAGAGAAGAAACAGTCGACACCGCCACAGCCGACTGGCCAGGATTGAGTCTGTCAGATGAAGTTAGGTGTGCCCGTTTCGTGCAACGCAATCTTCCAGGTTATCCTGCGTAGTTAGCCGATGCTTAGTTTTCAGCGGCCAATCCAAGCCTCACTTGTCTACCACCGACCGTAAACTCTGTTGACGCCTTCCTTTTCGCGTTTGCAGAACGAAAGGTCGCACGAAATGGCGTTACATTCCTTGGCAATGATAATCGACATGAGCATCGGGTCTTGTTAAGACAGTGTAGCGAGGAAGCAGTTGCATAACATGCTTGTCGACAAAGAGCGCTGTAGTGGACAGAATGAATTTTCAGTCACATTAAGGTCACCAGTCGCAGAAGCTCCTATGGCGGACCCTCTTAGTTAATGACATGTTAATCTACCCAGACATCGCCAGAATAATAAAAAGTCTAGAGATAAAGGAGATAACAATTTGTTAAAGGCCTCAAGTGCATCGTGTCCGTGTTTATGTAAGGTCATATTTACGCATGGGCTGTAGACGAGGTTATTGGTGGATTTTAACCAATGGGGCTAAGGTGAACCAGTGAACGGACAATGGGATGAGTCAGTCTCGCGCACGTGAGGGTTGGGTGAGCAAGTGGGTTGACTGACGAGTTAGGACAAGCGTAGGCAGAGGTGATTGACAAGTCACGGCCTCACGACCACGGTGGACACAAACGTTCATGCTCCCACTGGGTATGATGTGTCATTTACAGTGGCCCTGGGGACCGTAGTGCAATACCCGTGAATTGACGAACAACTCCACATGGGGATCGATAAAAAACCTTGAAGTCAATCTGCTATCTCAAGGTTCTACCGATAATTCTCCAACGATGGTTTTAAGTCTTTCGGCGTCTTAGAATTGGGCGGTAACCAAAGGTATAAAATTGCTACTTATACAGTGTGAAGTAAGTATTATTTATCAGACGTCTGAGGCATTTATGAAGTAGTTGCATCACCCTGATTTTTGTGCAATTTAGTTTTAAGGATATACCTTTTACTATTTATTATGAGCCATGCACTTATGTCTGACACATGGCCCATTATTTTTAAACAAATCGAAAACTAGATTAGTTCTTCAACAAAATGCAACTGCGCACATCAGCATCATAAAAATCATTGGGCAATATTAGAGCAATTCTCATACGACAACTCATTTTTAAGTATTAATATGTCCCTAAATGAGTAACAAATACAAATCGCAAAATCGAATGGCAATAGCTAGTTTCCCATGCATTTTTACTTTAGTCCTGGGAGTTGGTCGGGCCAGGATCAGATCACCACCGTCTCAGTTGTTGTTGCTTCCAGATAGGTAAAGATGGATTCCACGCGTACATATACACTGGTGGTGAAAACGCGACTTGATAATGATTGGTGGAATGTTAACTCCAGACCGATTATTTTGGGTTTAAGAAAATTTGTTAAATAGTGAGCAACAAATGCATAATTTGATTGAATGCAGCTCGTTCACATCGAAACACAGGTAACAGTGAAATTAATAGTGTAATCACAAAATAGTGCAGCAGTAGGAACGCATTTCTTTTAGCAGAAGGCCGATTCACCAACACAATTTAAAAAAAGCAGCCTAGATCCTTTAGATGTTGATTGTTTTCACTACGATGATAATATGAAATTCCAGACACGAGTCAATGCTGTAACACAAAAATGTCTTCACCTTTAGACATTTCGAAATGAAATCGTTGACAAGTTGTATTGTGTGAGAAATTACGCAGACGGTTATTTTCAACTAGATTTGGATGTGCGAGATTAAAGGCTTGAAGTGTGGTGCGTTCCATGCACATGCGCGCAACACCCGCGCACACGATAGGCGCTGCTTCCCTTTTCCCGCGGCCACACTGACGGTCCGGCAGGCCCTATCGATCGGCAGCTGCACCAGAAGCACTTTGCCGTGGCACGTGCGAATTGATCGGGCAATTTCAGCCACGCCCTCTGATTGGCTAGGAGTTGCGCACGTCTGCGTGAAGCTGTCCAAAACGTGCAGAAGTATCGGCAGGTGGGTAGTGATCGTCGCGCACAAGGAAGCAAGAAGCCGCTTTTCAGACGTCCTTTACAGTCCTTCTTGAATTAATTCTGCCACAAACTTTCAGCAATGGACTCTATCAAGAAGAAAATGCTGGCTATGAAGCTGGAGAAGGAAAATGCCTTGGATAAGTACGTCAGTTTTGTGTTTATTTTCTGACTGAAAATACGCTAACATTAAACTTATGGGGGCCTGACAATAAGGGCATAACCTCACCTGGTAAATGATAAAACAAATACTGGCTGGATGGATTTTGAGCGCATTATGTCTTACAATAGTTAAAATATGCCTTTAGTGGTTTTCAAGTTACTCAGAAAAACCTGTCCAAATAGTTTTGAGACATAACAGGTGCTTTCAAACGTTACTTCTCTCACGAAGAACACTTCACAATATTCTCGGAGCTCGTTGCCTTTTCTGGTAGTAGCAGCTTTGCGTTGCTACTGAATTCTAAAATAATGGACAGGTTACCCAATCCAACAAGACCACATCCTTTTCATTTTGCCTTTGCATATTGTACTTTTTTTCTCGAACTATTAGAAGTAATGCTTTTGTACCAAGTTCACCTTACATTGAAATTTTGTTTAGGAAGTTATCTGTAAAGCCATGTTTCCTAACTGAAGTTATAACTAACTAGGAAGTTATAGTTGCGGATTTGTAGCTCGCAATTTGACCTTTGGCCACCTTAATAATCAACCATTATGCAATCCACAGGATGATGCCACCACGCCATTGTCTCGATCGATGGGGATCTGAGTACGGAACCAAATTTAAAACACATAGAAATGTTGAATTAGGATTCTCGATCACAATGTATGCAAAAATCACACCCTTTAGTTCACAAATCACGGATAATTCTAATCTAAAAGCATGCGTCTTGAAAATCCCACCTACACACAAATGTATTTTCTGCCTAACCCGGTAAACGCAAACACGAATGTCATGAGACACAATCAATCCGCTTAAACGACCAGGTGTTCGCTATTCACATTCGCTCGAGAGGTCTGTTTTAAAAGTGCAAGACTGCATAATCGTACTCAAGCGAAAAATGCCCGTACTGTTTTTAGACAAGTAACATGTTGGTGAGTGTATCCTTAATGAAATTGAGGCACAAATTTAAAATGTCGGTATTTTTTATGAAAACAGTGAGATCGATCATAAATACTCGTTGGTACAAAATTGCAGTACTATTGATGCCCACACAAGTACTCAAATCCGAATTTTTTTTAATACCAATGCTTTTGCATTAGTGAGTAGTTTAACGGATATATACAGCATTAGTAAAATGACGTAATTTTTAAAATTTGCATAATTTTAAGTGGTTCTAGCATCGGTTTGATTATATCACTAAACTGGATAGGCATTGTTTATTAAAACCAACCCAAGTTTTTCAAAGAGAATTTTAAACAATCAAGATTTTTCTTCCAAAGATGGCTTTATTTCTAAATCATTGTATGTATTGTGGAGCAAATGGGACAATATTTTAGATCCTTAACCTCTGCATAGAACGTCGAATCGATCACAAATAATTCATAATAAAAAAAAGGAACAGAATGCCTCGGTAGAATTTCGGATTGATGCAGGAATGATGGTAAATTATGGGACAAAAATACTGTTTTGCAATTTCATGCATATGGATTTTTCCAGAAAGTAGTAAGAAAACGCTTATTATAGTGAAAGCACTGGTTGAATCTATGTAATAAAAATATATTTAAATACATTCAATAACGTGTAATACGAAAGCGCAATTTAAATGGCATCTTGGAATGTCGCCGGTGAATTGGTGTATTTGAAGACATTTAGTTGTCGCAACTTTTTTGTATTAAGCCGAAACCAAATACACAAGGAGATTTACGGCAAAATGCTTCGTCCAAAGCATTACTTTTAAACTAAAGTATCAAGGTCACTATTAAATAAGTGCGAAAAATGGTATAATTAACTTCACTACCAGGTCTTCGCTAATTTGAAAGAAAGCTAATAATGATTTAATTCGTAAGAAACGAAATTCCAAAAAAGAGATTAAATGAAAGCAGCAGATTTGCTTCGTTGTCTAGTTTTTTCGTGGGATAGTCGTATGAGGTAGTTTGTAATCAAGGTATGGCTCCTCATTTTTATTCTTGTCAAAATACTGCATGAATTAAAAGTAGCAAATTTCTTACAATAACTAAAATGCAAGTGCATTATACAATTAAACCTTATTATTCGAATGAGAGCATAATCGGAGCTGTTTTCGTAGACTGGCTATTAATAAAAGCATAGTTCCAAGATTATAACGTTAGCTGCAAAAGCATTAAAAAAGTTCTTTAAATTTTGTAGAATATTATTTCTCAAAACGTCAAGAAAATCGAGGCTCTAAATGAGGTGTAAATACGAAACAAAGTAATGAGGTCAAATTTAACCAAGGAAATTGTTGCATTACTTTCTACCATAACATGTCACTCGGTTGAATGCCTGTATTGAAAAGATTTGCGTCAAATACCTATGTAAGGACACAATATTTATCCGATACATTTCAATCTTCTAAGTAGTGAAGGGGTGAAAATAATACCTGCACTTCAAGTGCATGGGAAATAATTTTAAATCATGCTCTGGGCATCCACTTAACCGGAACTCTTGAATCATAAGCAGTAGCAATTGACATGGACAATGAGGCTGTCAAAATTATTTTAAATGCCTCTAAACTGAAAAAATGTGCCAAAAATCATATTACGGTTCTTTATTTGTGTACGCTTAAGGGCCATAAATTTGGAGAGCCAGCTCAAGGAGAAGGCAAGGGACTTCGAAAAAAAGGAGGAAGAGATGAACGAGATGCTTGCAAAGGTTAAGAACATTCAGGCTGAGGTTGACACTGTCCAAGAATCTCTACAGGAAGCCATCAGTAAGCTTGAAGAGACCGAAAAGCGTGCTACTAATGTAAGTTAACACCATTTTGACGTCATTGAGTACGTTAATATTTCAAGTGGCAATGTTAATTTCTTACTACCTTCTACTAAAATATATTTAATATTGTTAAAGGGCTTTAGATAAAAATTGCAGAATCTGGTGGTAAATTCATGTCAGCAAAGTAGAAGATTAGCAAAATATTTGAACTTGGCTTAGTCAATCATGTTCATGTTATGCCTTATTAAAATTGGATACAAATAAATACAAACAAATAACAAATAAGCAATAAGTCAATACATTTCTAGATTGGCACAGTTCTGTGACATGCTCACACACATCACCGGATTTATTACATGCATGCCCGCTCCGTAACCTGCAAGCTTTACTGCCACAGCATCAATCACATATGCTGTAAAAAAGCAACCCATTTTAACACTTTACCCGTACTTGATATATAAAATTCACCACGGTGGGATTGTCTTTTTGCATAGACCTTTAGAAATGTAATAAAAGTCAGCACTAGTTTTTTAAACATTTACAACAGACACTTATATTTGTTCCATTAATCCTTAATATTACTTTATTAAATAAAATACGTTTGTTGATACATTCGGTTGTACGTTTATCGCTTTGCATTTACGAGACTTAACAAAATCAATGAATTGTTGCCCTGGCCCACAAAACTCGAATTGTACTATACCTGAAGATCATTTTAGTATTTTCAATTAAAAATTTCAATGGAGTTCAATTTCACATTTTAAAAAAGCAACTGCAATTCCAATACCGAGGACTTTATGTTTTAAAATTAAGTATTGATGCCAAGCAATGTGTGTGTAGCACAAAATTATTGAAAGACGTGTGGTATATCAACTTCCCACGAAATGCGACACATCTGCATCGACCCCATCCAGGTCACCGTCTGACTCATGAATCATTTTCGGTAAAAAGACGAGTAAACTACACTTTAAGAGGAATCAAGAAAATTAAACGTTTGTATTTGCGTAATAACTTGTATTGTGCGTTTGCACATTTGATTCATTAAAAACTCAGCAGCTTGCTTATGTGCGCTGAACCAGTTGGTGCGCCATTCAAAGTTAATGAAAATGGAAGGCTCCGCGACTGTTGAAACTGTCAAGTCTAAGATTTTGGCTATGACCTCGGAGAAGGAGCGTTTAGAAAGAGAAATTGCTCTTAAAAACGATGATATTGAAATTGAGCGACGAAAAAAGGAGGCTGTAATTTATATGATAATTACAAGAATTATTTTAAATCGATGTGCTATCTAACACTAAGTTATCTATGCAGGCTGAAGCTGAAGTTGCAGCCATGACCCGCCGCATTCGTCTTTTGGAGGAAGATTTTGAACAGTCAAGTGGTCGTCTAACTGAAACGTCCACCAAACTGGATGATGCCAGCAAAGCAGCTGAAGAGAGCGAGAGGTAGGTTTCGCACTGTTGAATCATTGCCTGCACTTTCAACCGCAACTGTTCTTGCATGCCACCATCATCTTACTTTGCATGTCTTTAGTGCACGATGGCGTCTAAATAATCAACAGGGTGCTGATGAGCTGAAAATTAGCGAATTAGAGCGTGCTATTGCAACTGCGACAATGGCTACCGAAGAAGCTGAGTGGAAATATGAGGAGGTACCTTTGTGGTGTTTTTGGGTTATGCATCCCCTTGTTTTACTAAGTAATTGTGCAAAAACCGTAAGTTTTGGGGAGTGTCCACTCCTAGAGTGCATGAAAAAGGCTGACTACTGCTCAACTTCACTTAGTAAAAAGACAATTTACTCTAACTTTAATGGTCGCGCGTGCAGGAACCGTAAGACTCTTGAGACCAGATCGATCTCTGACGATGAGCGTATGGCTCAACTTGAGGACCAGGTGAAGGAAGCCAAGTACATCGCGGAGGATGCTGAACGTAAATACGATGAGGCAAGTCCCTTACACAGTTTATTTTAATGCATGCTTGGGAAATAACTGTGCATTTTCCGCGGTAATCGCGTTATAACGCGGGTTCTTCATTCACACGACCAACTAAGTACATCGTTTCAGTCCAGGTCATGCGATTCTGCTCCGAAAACCCCGCAGATGGTCGTATCAATGTTAAATCCCGTCTAGAGCCATCACCGTTCATCAGTTGTTATATTGGTCGATTCATGTCTTTTAACTAAGTGTATGTATGCCAGCTAAATTTAATCATTTTACACTAGGCTGCCCGTCGTCTGGCCATTACAGAAGTTGACCTGGAGCGTGCAGAATCGCGTCTCGAAACCTCAGAGAGGTAATATCGACACAAATGCATCTGGCCCGTCCGCCGCTCGCTCCTGCACGCGCTGTAGCTATTTAAATCGCAACTTCTTTATTCCTTTTGCCGCATGCTCCTTTAATGTCAGCATGTTACATTTTCTCCATCTCCTTCGCCACGGAAGACAATGAAAAGGGTTGCTATCGCTCAACAGACTCTAGCTACAACACAAGAACAGGCGGAAACAATTGAAGCGTAAGTTCCAGTTGTTTTCCGTTTAAATGTTATAATTAGTGAGCAGGATCCTAGATTTTCAAAATCAAACATGCATCCTTTAGTTGCCAGCTAATTTTGGTGCCAGAGGCACTCTTGAGGTCCGTTCGACAATAATCAGGCGCTTCAGGGAGGCTGGTTTTTTTTCTACAGCTTATGTAATGAAGTCACATTGTATTGCACCGATGTACACTTGTTGGCGAAATTTAGATCCAGTTACTGCGATTACTTAATCTCGACAGTTTATATGATACTCGGGACTCTTAATCATCTGATATCTGGGTTCCTTTGTTGGGATGTTTTAGTATGCACACACACACAAAGATACTTTATTTGTGTACATTCTAACATTGTGTCTTTTTCCACCAAAATTTTAATGCATTGCCAGTAATTACTGCTCCATTGCATTTTAGTCAAGCCCGAGAGCTGGAGGAGAAATTGACCACCGTAGCCTCCGAGTTAAAAGCGAAAGAAATTGCATGTGAAAAGGTGATGTGGCGGTGTCTTGTTGCTACTTTTTTGTATGAAGGCACGGCATGTGTATTTGGCAGTAGAGCGTTGCTTTAGGTGCACATTGAGGTAAAAATCGATAATCACTTTGTAGCAAAATCGTTGAGCTCGAGGAGGAGCTGCGTATTGTTGGTAACAACATGAAATCTCTCGAGGTCTCCGAGCAAGAGGTAATCACCCACGCTCCTATACATGTGACAGACAAACTAGTCTCACGCACAAATACTGTTGTCATGGTTGGTACATCTGAGCCCCTAGTTATGCTACGGTTGGGCGCTGTGCATGCTGGTAGTGAGCAACAGGCAAAGGATCCCTAAACTGCCCCACTTCTCTGGCTTTATTAATTTAATAAACTAGTACAAATCGTGAAAATTGTGTAAAGTGCAAGCCTGTCTAGCCACAGAATCCAACAACCTATGCACTGGTAGGAAAAGTCCAGAAAATAGCAATGGCGGTAAGGCGGGCCCACTACACCCATGTAGATTTTAGAGCTGCTGAGCGTTATCTGAAAGTGCGTAAAAAACTACAGCAAACTGGTTATTTATATTGATTTTGAATACTATTGTGGTAACAACAGCAAGTCAGTTCTCATCACCATGCTGTTTTTTGGCTCGCATCTCCTTTAAAACTTAGTCCCTCCAACGTGAGGAGAGTTACGAGGAGACCATCCGAGACTTGACTGAGCGACTGAAGACGGTAAGGACAGTGCCTTGTCGAAGTGTGCATGTGTTTGCACCGAGTCAGTTGGATTGGACGAGCGACAGGTTAAGGTGCCTGTGCCTAATGCTTGGTATTTTTCTTTTCACTGCATGACCGTGTGTGCACGTCACCGCTGTTTACCATTCGACGTGTAGAACGCCGAATTAGAAGCGATGTACTTGAAGCGGCTTGATCTCTTGCGGGAACAACTTAAAGAAGTGAGTCACTTCAAGGCCTCTAAAACTCCACTTTGACTTTTTTGATGGGGATTTAGTAAAACATATTTTACGCCTTTGGGAGTAAGCTGTTTACTTCTAATCTGCGGTCATGACGATGAGGTTAGAGCAACGTCCTAAGGCCTCTTACTGTATGGGTTCATTGAAGTGACGCGTTTCAGTCAAGTCGCAAGCGTGGTCATTTGGACCCAAGTGCAAACCTGCATTGCAAGATTTGTTTGGCTGCTTTGAGGGTTCATGCAGTATCGGACTTGCGGAATGTGCACTTACTGCCTGGTTTGCGCTCGACGCATGTTATTAGTTGTTCTCCAAAGCCATGTTTCAATCCATGTTGGTCATCACTAATCTAGGCTGAGCAGCGTGCAGCTGAGGCTGAGCGCCAAGTCTCCAAGCTCCAGAACGAGGTGGACCGTCTTGAAGGTTCGAATATTATTACCACCTGCTACCTTGAACTGCCTGCTAACGTTTGCCTTTTTCTACTTCCTTTGCTTGCCTCTGCACGATTTTCTTACTTGCATGATGCTTCACAAAGGCTGAGTCAAGGGCGGAGGCCGCAGAAGCCGTATCGAAAAGGTACGAACAGGAAATACAACGAGTCAAAGGTGCGTTTCGATGCAACTTCCCATAACTTTCCTTTTTACTGGTATGCCGAATTCCAAAGAGCTTGCCCGTGTTTTTATGAGTTCTCACGTTGTTGAAGTGACGATCATATGCATATTTATGGTTCTGATGTTGCGAGGAGAGTTAGTGTTTAGTCAAAGTCCTGACCAATTTGCCGAAAATCTGATTACATTCAGGTAAACAGTATGGTTTGTTTACGAGAATTAGGAGTTTAGTGCATTCACGGCCAAGTTGATGGTGTGCAGCCATCGGGCCACTTGCTGTACGTGGGCTCTGGGTTTTCCGCGATGCCGTCCATTGATCGCTCTCCCGTTGCCGCGCGCGCGTGTGTGCGTGCGTTCATACCGTGCCTATCAAGGGCTTTCGATCACGTAGCAGTGCGCGTGTTCGTGTTTACGTTAGCTTGGTTGCCTCGTCTATTCAGGATTAGAACAAAATCGCCCGTCGTTGGGTAGAAACCCTTCTAATTATTTAAGCCTCGTATTATCCACCACAACGTCCCTTGGCATAACTTGGTATTCTCACGTGGTTCTTGTTTACCCCCTTGCAGAAACCCTCTCCTCAGAGAACAAAACTTTTACGCTACTTCGACAGGAAATCGACTCTGCACTGGACGAGTACCACTCCATTTGAGGCGTTAAGGTCGTTGGCGCGCCGGCCATCTTACACCCAGTATTGCATGAATCTCAATCCACAGTGCTCCTGCATTTAGCATGAATTACATAGGCTCCCTCTACGCATTTTCTCTTGACGCTCCTGCATCTCCCACTAACCCGGAATCATGGGAACTGGTTACCCTGCTTTGATCTTAATAACGCACTCTGCCTGCTTTATTTCGATCGATTGCACTTTTTCCTCGAAATGCATGGCGGTCTTGTTCGATCGCATTGCAAAGCCACGCTTGGCACACGAGGTGAGGCACAATTATGTCGGCGTTCAAAGTGCAGGTCACTCGCTCTAGCCGGGTTTCTTCTCTCGAGGAGTAGAAACGGGGGGCGGTGGTGAACTGTCGTGCCATGCACGGAAGGTGTCGTGACAGTGCGACAGGGGCGCATCGCACAGCACGCCCTCTGCTGTCTACGACAGATCAAGCGCGAAACACGCACTACTAGTGTACTTACCCGTAGCGGTGTGTGTGTGTGGTATTCCCGTAATTGAGGTTTGCGGTGGTCAAGTTCCAACTGCAGATTCGTCTGAGTCTTAGTGCTAGCTCAGCTGATGAAACAGCACCCCGCCCTGGAGTGTGCGGCCATGCTTGTTCGTGTGCACGGGTCCAAGGGGTCAGCCTCTTGTTTGTTTTCCATTTGTTTATTCTGCCGATTAGACGTGCTTGCAATACTTGAAGTGGCCCAAATAAGGTGACTACACTTATGTGTCCCGGGCGTCACGATGTAGTCAAGTCGACTTCGGTGATTTCGAGGTTTGGGCTGTCGATGCCAGAACAATGCTTCCAAGCGTGGATAAAAACACGAGAACACCAAATTAGTTGAAAGGAACTAGAGGAGATGAGGTGGCCTCCCATGGTCGTAATTGGACGGAGTGGGACGTTTTTAGGTGCTTCTCGTCAATCGGTATTATGCAGCGCTCTTTGGGGAGATGTGCAAATGATTTGTCTTCGGTCAAATGGGAAATCAATCCCATTTCAGGGAACCTTTTACACTAAACGCCGGGGTCTTCGTTAGCGGACTTAGTTCCTAAATTTGAAATGCCTAGAATTTGTCCCTCACAACTTTCTACTTATTTTAGAAGAGTAAGACTTATTACTTGGTCAAATAGTTGATAGGGTCCACGGAAAATGGCAAGCTCACTCGAAGGACCGTAAAACTTCAATGGTAGCCAATTGGGGTAGGGTTACTGTGCTCACCCTTATACATATGGGCGATGCATGCTTGCACGTGCTTTCAAATATGTGTAAGTGCTAGAAAACTGCAAGTGACGATTTTTTTCTGCAGACGAACTGCTCTCGGAGAAGGAGCGCTACAGAGCGATCAGCGGAGAGTTGGACACTACCTTTGCCGAGCTCACTTCATTCTAAGCGGTCTGCATTATGGAGCTTTACTCATGTATTGCTAGAAACTCTCCCCCCTATCCCATTTCATGTGTTAGATGTCTGGTAAAATCGCTCCTCTCCTGTTCCCTCGGGTTGCACATTTGAGCCTTCTTTTATTTAGTAATTGGCATTGCTTTCGAAGGAATTTATTTACCAATGTCCAATGACGTTTCCTCAATATGTCGCAGTTCCTAAAAGAATTCGCCTTTTCTCCCACCTCAAGACAGGGACGCTAACAAGCGTATTTGTTTTTTTTTTCAACTAGTGTCCGCCAAGGTAGACACGAAGTGCCCAAAGGTAGATGAGGCCAGGTGCAACCGTTTAATAGACAGCTCGACGCCTTGTGAAAGCGTAGAAACTTGCGTTTGGGTGTGAATCGCAGGTGGGCACGATGAAGGTAGTACTACGTTTACCCGTAACAAAGAGAAAAACACTCGAATAATGGTATCAGATCCCTTGTTGACGCTGGCACCAACCTTCCCACGCTACTGCAAGAACAAGACCAGACGTCGTGTAGAGAGCTTTAATCACGTCAGCCACGTGCGGAGTGAGTTGTCAAACGTGAAACTAATTCGAGTCATGGTTGAATTAGTGTAAATAGCGCCAGAAACCAATGACGAGCAATCTTGGGGAATCGTGGATCCCCAGCAGGTAGTGAATGTTGTGCCCGGGGCAGAGAGCTGCATTTGTGGGGGAAGGATGGAGGCTGATCGAAAAGCTCGAGTCCGCGAAGCAGGTGGGCGTCGTAAATTGGCACATCTTCACTCGATTAGCAAAGCCAACTTCTTAAGAAGGTACACAGCACCTTAACAGTATCATACTGCACTTGATGCGAGTTTGTCATGTTACTCCAAGTAGCATATCAGTTCTCAGAAGTGTTAGGGAGCGGCGCACATTGGAATCCAAATGCCTTCTTAATTAAAAGGAAATGGGGCTGCAGACTGCCTGTTAGCGAAAATACTAAAACATTGCATTTTAGACAACAAAACAACCATTTTGTTAGTTTGCACATTCATTTGTCTTCCGGATTCTGATAGACAACTAATGCTGCCCACTGTTTTGAAACGGAAATCCTTTATTGTAAATACACGGACGAATTACCCCGCTTAAACGGCATAGTAGACACGTAACCCCCCCCCCAAATTGCTACATACATACATTCATGCATTTTATTCATTTGTTACTCACTCAGTGCATGGTTAGTGGGTCGGCTTTCGTTTCTCAGTTGCCCTGGCAACGAATTTCTTTTGTACACTCAATGAAGGGTGGGTTAACGCTATTGCCACTTTTGAGCTACATTGAATGCGATAACTTCTCACACGGAAAAGTCAACGTAAATGTGCAACAAATATATTTGAGAAAAGGTGATTACCAACAATTTTAAGAAAAGTTAATTAAAACACTTAAAGTTGCAAGGGAATTATCTAAAAGAGGTCAGAATTGTCCGCAGTTAAATCGATTTCTAGTTAACCAGAGGACATGAAGTAGCATCATCCATTCTCAAATTTCTTGACTGTAGTATCACAGATTGAACCTCAGGATCCATTTCCTGGAGTTCAGTGTCGTTTTTTAATATGCCCTGAAGTGAAAAAAAGCGAAGTACAGGAGGTCTGTGCGATATCAAAGGGAACAACTCTCAGACAATTCCTTAGTTTCCGAAACGCAAAACAATAAGGATGCCCACTAAAGGCGGTAGAAGTTTAGTATATACAGATCAACATAGCGATTTGCACAGGACTAAGTGATTTAATACATTTACTGGAGTACATGTTAATGCCTAAAAGTGGCCCGGCTCCGTTGTTACTACACTCCTATCAACGTGTGACGTCAAAGTGAATTCTATGTCCTTTCGTACAGACAAATGATGGACGATTTGAAAACCAATACCACGCTTGAACGATAAATGGGACAATCTAAAATAATGCACTAAAGTATAAGACAGTGGATTTATTATCCAGAAATGCAATAGAGGAACTTTGAAATGCAGGGAATGCCGCCATACCTTTGGCAAATACCCGAGAAGCGGCTTGGCGTGTTCCTTCAGCAGGCGAATCCGCTCCTCCTCGATAATGAGCCGCCTGACTTCTTCGCGGCGCAGAATAGCAGCTTGCGCGTCCTCCTCTTCTTGTCGCTGCTTCTCCACCTCCTGCCTCTTCTTCTCCAGCATGACCTGAAGGTCTCGTCTGTGTTCCATCAGCTTAAGGCGGCGCTTTTCGTCAGATAACTGTTCCAGACGATCTCTCTCAGCCATTTGGGCCAGCATCTGAGTGCGATATAATTCTTCCTCTTCGCGTTCGGCCTAAAATACATTTCGAAGTCTGCTGAATGCCTCACGAATTTCTTTACATAAATATGGCTGAGGCTCGATTAATAGAATTCCCAAGCAAGGAAAAAATGGGAACTCCGCCCATTGTCATTCCAATAAAGTTAGAACTTTTCAAGTCACATAAGTTAGTATAAATGGATGTTTTCAGACTACTTAAACCAAAACAGAATAAACTTAAAAAGAAACATCTGACGCAGGAATGATAGTTCTTCTCACTTCAATTGATCAAAAAAATTATGAAAAAATCTCCCTAATCTAGCAACTCAGACGTGTCTTAAGTTCACCTATCAACTGAGTGACCATCGTTTTAAGATTAAGAACTCGTAATATTTGAGAATTAAGTGGCTACCTTTAGGCATGAGTGAAGTCACCATCTTCCTCGTGTCCCTTTACTATTCGGAGTAACGTTGCCTGCTGAGCAAGGAAAGAAAGCAGACTTACAGCCAGTCGTCGCGCGCGCTGAGCAAGCGCCTGTTGGTGGGCATTTTGCAGCTCCAGACGCAGACGTAGCTTCTGCTCAACATCCACTTCATCAGTTTTCATTGCCGCATAGGCAGCTTCTTCCTGTGAGAGCTCCTGTCGAAGCATCTCCACCTCCGTTCGCTCTGCTTCCTTACATTCAATAAACTTCCTCAGCTTTGCCTGTGGTAAGAGATTAGACACGAATGAACGCAGATCAGAATCGATCAAAACGAAGGGACTTAAGCAGCAAGTTTTCTTTGCGAGGTGTCACACCTATCAGTAGTATATTAATGACTGAAATAACTGGCACACCGCCAGATATTTGTAGAAATGAAAGTTGTGATTAATCTCGAAGTTGCACAAAAGACATCGTGCAGAAGGATAATTTAGGCAAATGAATTACACGAGACTTGTATTTACTTGCATACAGTGAGTTCAATTGATCTCACTGAAGCAGGTTTTGTGACGGTTGAAGATCCAGTTCTCAGACTAAGGATCACTTTTTACCATTTTTAAATTCACTGTTAAAATAATTAGCTTACGTAAAGTGATAACGTAAAGGGAAGCGTTTTTTCGACCATCAGAATAACGTGCCGAGAAAAGGTACCAAAGGCAACCGTCATTTGTTTGTATAATTAGAGATGTCATCATCAGATCTGGTCTCAAATTTTGTGTCATGAGTTATATGCAATTTAGTCAGTACAAAATGGTTTAAAAAATGAAGTGAAATGTCCAATTTTTGACCCCCAATTCTTCGTCGATTTTTTTTATAACTATTAATTAATTTAGTTCATGAAATGGTTTTTTTGAGACCAATTTAAATTTAAAAAGACGGACCATTAGCAAGATGCAAAAAGCCTTTGTTTGAAAAGATGAATAACGGAGTTTTTAAATCGCAAAACGCCCCTGACGAGTTAATAAAAAAATTCAGAATTAATTTCCGTGTAGCAGAAAAACCAAAAGTTAAAGCATTGTTGACACTACCGTCAAATCATTTACCGATATAAACATTGATTAAAATTTTTCTCAATAATCACAAGCTATATGCTTATCTCTCGGGTATTTTTGTAAAGCATCAATTTCGTGAATGGAGGCAATAAACATAGTTATGCCTAGACCAGGTTTAACAAATTAGATTTAGGTGTCAAAATCTGGCAAATCTTTGAATTTTCAGTAGATGTGCCGATAATATTGAGAGATCAATGACTTCCAAGTTACGTCCAAGACTCGGTTTGTTGCAAAATAACACGAACGTACCTGAATGCAAAATTTAACTTAATCGAGGGTAAAAAGTGTAGGCAAAGTACACATCATGAAAGGTATAGCTCGTCATTTTCAAACTAACTTTAGTCACTGCTTGGGACGGCAAACTTACGTAATGCTACTGCAAACAGGCGCATATTTAGTGCGTAGGTGTTACAAACTTTATGGTAGCTCGATTACTTGCCTGAATTTCCTCAAGATTCTTTTGTCGCTCAAGCCTATTCCTTGCAGAGATGTCTTCTCGGCTTTCTTGCTCAGCAATCTCCTTAACAATGCGTTCATTTTCTTGCCGAATGCGCTCCTTTTCGGCCAGGCGCCATCGGAGTTGCTGCATCTTAAAAGCTTCCATTTCAGCGGCATACGCACGCTTTCTCTGCAGCCGCTGCTCTGCCTGTCTGTGAAAGCAATGTCGAATGAACACACGAGACGCAGAAGTGGCATACTCAAACATTACTGAAGTGCCAACTGACATGGTTAAGCAAATAGTGTTTCATTAAAATAAACGTAATCTAAAATTAAATCAGAGGAGATGGAAAAGTGGAGTTAGTCATTCTCAAAGAAATAGGAAATATACAGGTCTGATTAGAAAACACAATTTAGGCTAATTTCCACAGTTCATTTGTTTTTGCTCTTTTGGAATCTTACCTTGGACGTCTGACTGCTTATAACTCTTCTAGTAAGCATGCCTAATTAGCTGTGAATAAAACGATAATTTTAAGGTATCAAGTCTCACTCGTGGCATTACCAATTCTTAGATAAACTATCTGGTGGGTTAATAGACTTTTCAAGTGATGTTTTTCGAAATTCGATGTTATCAATTTAGCTACTTTGTCATTTTTCTTCCCAGACAGAATAATTTTATGTGGGAATATATAAAAAGGTGCAAAATAAAGCACGACAACACCTGAATGAAATCATCTTCTATACAAGCCAAACAGACAGGTCAGTATAAGCTAAGCGCATCACCATTGAAGAGGACAGTTTCTTCCTAATATTTGCACAGCATCTTTCTAATTAAAATCTTAAAACAGAACAGCAGGTCATTGCAGACCGTGACTCAGAAACTCACTTTCGATGAAACGGTTAAAGCACGTTCAACGAAATAAGGGACCATGAAGTTGACAATAAAAATCAAAGCAAAGTGTCGGCATACTTACTGTTGATCTTCTTCGTGTATTCGTCGGACAACCTCGTCAATAGCCATCTTTTCGCGGAGAAACTCTTCATATGCGCGCATCCGTTTTTGTGCTTGTTCTCTTAATTGCTTATCCAGCTCAGCACTGTATTTCTGTTTCTCTTGAAGATGTGTCCTATGGCGTGCAACCTCTTCAGCATCTGCCTGACGTGATTCCTCCTCTAAAGCTAAGCCATACTTAGCCTCAGACACCTGACAAAATGAGAACTTATAAATTTGCGTAACTGCAAAATCAAATGAGGAATAGTGACAAATGCAAAAAAAGTTCTATAAATACTTCTGGTAGAATAATGAACCTTAGCTACTTGCATAAATTAAAAGGTTTAGCATACACAAGAAATTTAGTTGTTAAATGACAAGTCGCAAAAATAAGTTTAATTTTGCACAGTTGTATGCCAGCTGAAGACAATCGGTAGCAATTATCAACAAAATATTGATTTATTCCGAGTAGTAAATCAAGGATTAAATATACGAACTTCATAGGAACCTTGTTATAGGGTCTCATTGCTAAGAAGCAACTTTAGAATGCAGAGATTGCAAGCAAAATTTGGCAAGATTTGATGTAGTTCCGCAGATCCCTAAATGATTTAAGCATTAGCCTACCAACTCGCAAAACTTCAGTGATTTCTTCTTTGCAATTTGAGAGAGATTTTCTTTAGCGCGGTAGGCGTCGCGCAACTTTGATTCCAACTGTCGAAGCTCTTCGCTATTTAAAGGGAGCATATGCATAAAAGCCAAATAAAAGAAACAAAGTGTGTAAAGTTACCAACCAACCTGTCTTTGCAAATCAGTTTTCGGAACATTCGATCTCGAAATTCATTAATTCTTTGCTTTATTTGGTCCTTCTCTCGTATTACTCTTTGGTCTTCAACGTTTTTTCGTGTCAAAATTTCGGTTTTCAACTAAATGTTTATAATTTATAAGATTTTTAACAAGAAATGAATTTGTATGCTAAGGCCTTTGGTTGTAAGTTTGTAAACCAAAGCAAACAATTAACTTACTTCGATAGGCTTGTTAGATTCACAAAGTTGTTTTTCGCTAAGAGATGAACGAGCGGAGATGTGCCTTCTGGCGTTGGCGTCGAATTTGACCATTGCAGCAATGTTCTGAGTTTCTCGATCATATTGCTTAAATTTCCGAATTTTGTCCTCCAGGAGCCGTGTACGATTTTGTTGAAGCTGCCACTTTGCTCGCTCACAAGCCTTCACGTTGAAAAAGAAAAATATTTGCCTAGAAGAAGATGGTAGGATTTGTAGGCCATTGCCTACACAAATAATTCAACGTGTTCAATACTAGACTAACTTTTGAACTTTAGTGACAAGAAAAACAACTAAACGGTAAAAAAACTACGTATCATGAAATTTTGTCAGGACTCGTGATTCATCAAATATTCATTTAGTCGGAGCCCGTGGCCTTAAATGTGGCCATTGACTAGGCGACTTTAGCTTAAGTACCAAATGACTGACACATTAAATACACGTAAATCGGGAAATTCAAAACAAAGGGCAGAAAAGACTTCATATGACTAAATATTACTTCGAAATAAGATCGGCGATAATACATATCAAAGGGATAGATATATTACTACATTTTCACACGTGAGCTTTAAAATTACTGTCAGTGATTATTAAAAGACACAAAATAAGAGGCCTTGCACTGAAAATATAAAAACGTGCGCCTCAAATTATATCCAAATACGTAAGATAATAACTGTGTTGGATCTTAACCAACAGCACTTGAAACTGTTAGGAATTTGTCAAGTATTTTGACAAATTAGGTTAATACTTTGTGTAGCTATGTTAAATATACTGCATTATGCATAATTTTTAGGGTAACATTAAGAACAAGCACATTCTCTGTAAAAGAGAACTAAACTGAAATCAGCGGGTCAACCAAGCGCATAGTGATATGACATTAGAGCTGACAAGGCTGTTTTTTATTAACAAATTAAGCGATATAAACACTGTAGTGCATGCGGAGTATTTATTTATTTAGATATAATATCAATAATATACATCAGGTACGTATGCGTACTCAAATTCTGATTCATAAGTTTAATGCGCTGTTTCAAAGTCATTTTTATAATTTTTCAGAACGCTTTAATCAGAAATAATTTAAATCCCAATGCAAACATCGATATTCATTGAATCTCGAAGAGGACATTTGTGTAACGGCCGTTTTGTATACCTTGATGTGCTATGTGTCATCACATACATATATAAATAGCCACTGTGCAAGTTTAATAAGAGGATTTTTATACGATCCCTCCGTGTAAAGTCGAAAAATATACAAAAATTGCCAGTAATAAAATTTTAGTTTCCTTTTGTGTAATTTTCAAATCCAAAATAGTTTTTGGTTTTCTTTTGAAATTGTAATTTAGTTTGGTAATAACATATTGGTTTGCGAGATTATGAAATGACTTTGTTAGCTCTACTTTAATTTAAGTCATTAATTTTTACGTGGTTATGGCTTGCATATACGAAACAGTAGACATACCTAAGAAACTTGTGTAAATCAAAAACTTAGAAATTGAAGGCATAATTTCAATTTCATGATCTTAGAAACACCTTTGTTAATGTAAGATCTACATTGTTAAGCATAAAAAAAATACTTGTTACAAACTTCAGTTTTCTAATATTATTAGCGTAAATTTAAATATTGAAAAGAGGCATTTCGTGGTTTGCCAAAGGTGAGAAATAAGAAAACAGCTAACTTTGCAATCAGTTGTGTTGGCTATGTTTTGACCAAAGTTGTGCATGTTCATTTTATGTTTATTTAATTATTTTAGGCAATTATAATGGATAGTAAATCCAGCACTTTATGCTGCATTAGTCATTGGCTTGAAATAACCTAATGGAAACGAGTAATTTCTGTTTTGTTCCTTTTGTGTAACTAAAAACATGCTTTGTACATGGGCCAAATGTTTAGTTGAAATGTATGGGTCAAATTTGCAAGAATCCAGAACCCTAATGCGAACTGAATAATCAGGTACTCTAGGTTAAAATGCATTAAATTCAAATTTTAATAGTTCTAAATAAGAATAAATGAATAAAACAAAAAACTTCAAATTATTAACTGTGTTAATGCTAGCCCTCACAAGGCTTTCAGATATGTGGACTACGCGGCACGTACCTAAACATTTTGTATTTTTTGGCTTACTTTTTCATGCCTAAAATCATCTTTCTACGCGTTGGGGTGTCTCTTCATTTGATCTGATTTAAGAGTAAATACTTAAATTTGATATTATCTTACTGCAAAATATTTTAATAAGTTTTATAATTAATACTTATTTTCCATCCATTCACATTTTAATATTTTTATAACAGATCTTTCAAAAATATCTTTTATATCATGCATTCATTTGACTTTACTTATTTTGATTAGAGCTGAAGTAAGACAAATGTCCATCAATTTTCTAAGTTCGAAGTACAGACGTTAGAGCTCAACAATTACTTAGCGGAATTTAGAGCTCTCGAACCTGACTGAAAAGCCACGTTCGGTAATATCAATGACAAACGGGCGATATTTTTCAAAATAAATTAGCAGTGAATGACATCTTTAAATGTTTATGAAACGTACGTGAAAGTTATTAAAACATTGAACCCAACTATAATTTAACTAGAACATTACTGCAGTAATATAAGGAGTAAAATTCTTGAATATCAGACTGGAATTTTTTTAAAGTAAATCTTTTGTTCACTTTGGCAGACAGAAGTATCGTAGATATTTGGCCAGATAGGATAACATAAGTTGCTTCTTGGGACCAAAAACTTGTCAAGGATTAAATATTGTTCATTTTCATTATCATAATCGCAATGTGGTCAAAACTCCACAAATTTCCTATTTGAATAGGTAAAATTTCAAGAACAGACCCAGCGAAGGATTTGTTCCTGTATATGGGAGATCAAATCTACTTAGGAAATCGAATATTTTTCTCGCGTCATGGGCCCCAAAAAACCGACATGAAATAGGGTTCAATTAGTAACTCTCACCCATACTACTGCCAAACTTGCACAATTGCCATTGAGAAGACATTACTGATGTGTCTACGAATTCTTCAGATTGTGAGTTAATACGTGTTAAGAAACAACGGTGACGATGGGGGTGATGCCAAAATATTTGAAATGATTGAACACCTTTTTACAGCATCAAACAATTGCGTATTAGTCACTTTGTTATCCAAAGAACCGATATTAAATATTTTGCCTTATTGAATTTGTTGAGGGCCCAGAATTGTAGTCTCAAACCACTCTGCCGCCGCCACTGAGTTGTATCTAACCAGACTAAGCTATCTTGATACGCGAGAGGATAAAGAAGACCGGAGAAGGCGAGGCACAGCCGTTTACATGATTGCTCAACCAGGTTATGTCGCGTGCTTCCATTAAAGGTGGCTGATGCCTGATACAGTCTGGATGAACTAGTACAACTGCAAAAGTCTGAGTGGTCACATGGCCAAAAAGGGCATTAGTGGATCATGCATCCACAGGGGTGAATGAGCAGGCGGTCCCCATGGCTAACAGGCACGCCCTTAAAGGCGACAGTGCTTCTGGTACTGTGACGACCGGTTAATAGACGTGAATCAATACGATTCTCTAAAAACTCAAACGCGATTTATATATTAGTACTTTACACTCTACTAGATTTACCACACTATTTCTTGTGGATATTTGGGAAGGAGTTGAGTTGAATAGTAAAATGCAATTTTGGTAGACTGTCAGTGGACGCGCACCACTTCATTTGTCTCGGTTAGCAAGCCCTCTGTAAACAAGCACATACACGACACAAATTGACACACCACGAGCAGTGGACGAATCGTTGTTGTCACCATATCATGTGGCCATTGAAGTCTCCTCTTTATTAGCGGGTTCTTTGCGTGCCAACGGAAAATAAGGTACTCCTTTCTGCGCTATATTAGAAGTGGGAACGCGATTATTCGTTTGTGGATGCTTGTTTAGCCTGTAGAGGCATCGTTAGCGCTACCTTCCAACCCTGCTAGTCTACAGTCCGTAACAGCCCGAGAAGCAAGGCAAGGCCAATTATAGGACATATAACGACCTAAGTCTTTTATGGCAGAGCGCATGAGTGAGTGCCGAACGTCAACTGTAATCGACAATCGACGACATTCGACCAACTCGTGAATACGCTTCACTCACGCTGGTTTAATAAAAGTTCATTACAAGTGGTATATGTGCATTACCTCGTCAAAGTAGTTTAAAGTAATGTTCCCCTTCTCTTCATATTATTGGCGGATGAATCTAATTTACTAGAAATGAGAGCACCGATAAACGAATACTTGTCATGTAAGCAGTACGGCAAAGCTCAGAACATAATTTTATATGACGTCGGAAATTCGTGAGATTCATTTTAAAAAGATTTCTAATCACAGCGATGGTAACGTAAATTATATTTTACTACAGTAACAGATTGTGTTGGATTTATATTTCAGTCCACGAGAAACGCACCGAATTACTTCATACACAATTAAATGGAACGAAAAGGATGTTTACTAAAGCACATCATCTGACTTCGTTAACGAAAGCCCTATTTTTTGTGCAAACTTTGTGTTCGCTGATATCAGGTTAATCACTATAGATTAATTGACAATTATTAGGCAGTTGTTAGGTGAACTCACGCATCTATCATATTTCTTGTCAATAAAGTTGCACATGCAATAGTTTTGCTTGAGACTATTAACGTTTTTTTGGCGTTCACAGGCGACTTTG